AAAAAAGAGGCTTGTTCGTGGGACATCGTCGAAGCTCAGTACCACGCGAGGTATCCAAGCTGCAGTGAAACCCTCCGTGCTAGTGAGCCCCACCACAGTGACAGGAGGGAAGCTGGCTGTGGCCACTGTTCCCAAGCCCCGCGTGCATTAGAGCCGCCTTGGCTTTCTGGCTGGAAGATGATTCCTGCAGCAGGAACAGGTTGCTGATGATGAGCAGCAGAGTCGTTGGAAGATGCCTTCCTTGAGGATTACACGTGGAGCAAGGCCATCAGTCAAGGGGAGAGCTGGCTGGTGAAACTGTCTGACTTTCCCCCACCGGGGAAGTGGCTTCAATGGCTCCATCTCCCAGGAGAAGCAGTAGGAAAGATGCCAGCGCCTTGCCAAGCATGTCCTCAACTTTCTGGGCTATCATGATCCTGGCTAGTCTCCTAATCGCTTACTGCAGTAAGTACATATTTGTCCTGGTGCTTTTGCTGGGCATACATCTACACCCTTCCCATGTGAGGTAACACTTGAGGCGCAGGCCAAGCTCTGAAGCTGGCAGGGGTAGGTACTGTGCCTTAGACTTTCCCCTCAGCACATCTCCCCCCACTCCCCTCTGGCAAAGCAGGTAGACTGGCACTTTAGTACTGCTGCTTCTCAGGAGAGTGAGATGTCCTTAGGTTGTACTGCTTTTCCAGTCCAAGCAGTAGCATCTCTTGGATTTTAGAAACAAACTTTCTAGCGGTAGTAACCCTGATCCACTGCTCACTGTTTGTTGTCAGATGTTACCAGATTGCTCTGAGGCTGCTCCCTCCACATACACACTCTCCTAACTCCGTCCACCTTCCATGAAAATGATGGTTTGCTTATGTTCATTCTTTTAGGAAGCACATGTTTCATCAAGTGACAGATATCTTAACATCCCTGGGATTATATGTGATCCTCTGAAATTCTACAGGAGCAAATCTTGGCACCTCCTTAGCATATCCTCAGCTGTTTAGCAAGTCAATATTGCCTATTTTAGAGCTGCATCGCAGGTTATCAGTAGAGTTTTTATATTATTTTTTTAAGGCTTGATAGATATTCCATTAATTACGCTTGCAGATAAGGCATCTGTAAGAATCAAGTACTTGGACTATAAATGCTTTTAAAGGTCTTTATTTTTTTTCCTGCTTTTTTGTTTGTTTTGGTCATTTTTGTTTTTCTTTGTTTTTCTTTTAGCAAGAATCATTTCAAGCAATTATATAACATAAATGGGGTTAATGTCCATAGTTCAAGTTAGGGAATGCACGTTGGTCTATAGCACCAGGGTGGGAAACTTGCAAAGAGAACAGAAAAAGCAGTTTTACACAATAATAAAAAAAAAATACGCAATTTATCAGGAAGGACCCACACAGCTTTGCCAAAATGAATCTACACGGTATTTAACCACCCTGAGCTGAATGGGGTCTGTAATTTACCCATGGTGCATATTGCTTTCATTAGCTGTAGCATAAAAGATTTTGCACTAGGCTTGTCTTGTTGAGCTGTAATAGGTGTAGGCTGTGATGAATAGGAAATAGCTGCTGGTTTGCAGAAGCATACCTGCTGCATTTCTTAACCCTCTATTCCATTCCCTCCAACTGTATTACATTCACCATTTTTCTGTGTGTGTGTTCTGGGTTTTTTTCAAAACAAGATCATAATTAATTAGGAGAACCTTTAATTCACCTTTGTTTTGCTTATTACAGGGGCCCTTTATACTGATGAAACTGAAAGTGGATTATTCTGAAAATAACATATTTTGTAATTATTTTTGTAATTTAGCACATTTTGCATTACACTTCTCATTAATAAAATCATATTAAAGAGGCCACACTTTAAATATTAATATTTTTCACATAATGCTTTATTCAATGTGTTAATATGGAGGACATAATAAACAACATAGTAAATTTTAAAAGCATCTATTGTATCATGGGAGTGCATATTACAAAACAAATATTTCAGGTGTAAAGGGAATTCAGTTTGATATTAGTGATAGGAAATATTTTGTTAAGTTTGTGCTAGAAGTGTCCAAAGAGTCATGGGCTTCTTTTGAGGAGATATGAGATCTTTTGTGCATATATTTTTGATCAGCATGGCCTCAAAAAGAGTTAACCATGAACTCTGACACTTTAAAAATGATTTATTTTCAGCAATGAGAAGTTTGACAATGTTTTGTCCTAAGGAATGTAGTCATCCATTTAAATTGTTACACACTGTTCATTGTTTATTTTTTTGCATTGTTTACTGATAAAAAATGCAAATGTTGGCTGATAATCTGAAGGCATTTTCTAGTGTGCTTAAAGACCAGTTTCCAATTAGTTCTCTCAGACAGTGTCGATGGTGTTCCTCAAATATGTAGTACACTCTTCATTTCATATAGCACTGAAAAGCACCATGCTGCTTAAAATATGCAGTGTCAAAACACTCCACCATTTGTGTAATGCTTCACTGATTTGACAATTGCAATTCCAAATGTTAATGAAGCATCATGAACATTTTCTCTAGTGGTAGTATTTGAGACATTGAAAAAAATGGTTTTTGCTCTGTGAAAAAATCAAGATAAAAAAAGTAAAGCTATTTCTAGGTAAAGCTGCACTTCAGATTTTATGAATTCTTTTATAAATGAGCTAAAGTTTAATCAGTCTTTTTTTCATCTGATGCCTTTTCTTGAAGAAAAGCAGATCTGGGTGTTGTGGGTGGGGGGAGACACGATGACTTTTAAAAATACTTTAAAAAGAACAGGATTGCCATATTTCTTAGAAAGTAAAAGGAAAGAATTTGAATATGTAAGGTGGTCTCTACTTTCCCCCACACCTTGTTGTCAGGTACATGAAAGTATAACAATAAAGGTGAATATATTATCAAACTAATTATAGGAACCTAATGTTTTATTATCTCTCATTGTATCATTCTACTGAAAACAAACCCTGAGCCTCCAAAACAAAATCTGGGAAAGAACTTTTCCATTTTCCCTTTCTCAATAGCACTGTACATACAATTTTTGATCTATCTTAGCTATTTCCATTTTTAATCTGTTAGTCTGACAAAGCTTATTTCTGAATCAGTTATTTGAACATTGCTTCTCCTTCTCCTAATTACTTTGTGAATCCTTGTTTCTGGAAGTGTATTTGTTGTACAATAGTCATCCCAATTACCAGGAGCAACCAGTAAACACTATACTCTAAATTCCACTTGACAGATAAGCATATTTATAAAGAATGTTCTGGATGTACATATACAACACATTAGACTTTCATTTATACTTTAGTATCTGAAGTCCAATTATATTCCTATTGGTGTGATAAAATGATAAACTGATAATTTTTTCTTTCTTAAATGTTTAGATTATACTTAGGGATAATGGCTCCATCCTATGGTGGAAGAGAAACCTGCATCAAATCAATTAGGTTAGTTGCTATAGTGATAAATATAATGTAATATTTTCCATCTGAAGGAAAATGGTCTGATTTGGTAGGCTCTCAACAGGGGAAGACAAAAACAAAGTAGTAGAAATAGGCTATTTATGGTCCTTGGTGTGACCAACAAAGAGTTATTTTACTCAGCAGAAGTATCATTAAATGCAAAAACAGCCTCAGAAGGCTCTTCTGGTAGAGGGTGGCCACCTTCATGGCAATTCAGAATTCAAAGAGTTGTGACATTTTTGGATTCCAGACATGTATCTCACATACCTGTTTAATGAACAGGAGTAAACCGGGGAGAACTACCTACAATGAATACCCCACACTGTGTTTTTTACTGTTTTTTTACTTTTGTAAAGGTAAAATGAGTAGTTGTTTGTTGGGTTTTTTTTTCTTCTTCATAACTGGAGTATGAATTTTACCATGTTAGAAAGTTTGGTCAAATTAAGGAAATTCTATGTGTTATCACAGCTGCCTGCTAACATCAGGAATCTAAATAACATGGTTTTGATTCAGAACTATATTTTAGTGCATTTATTCAGTTGAGTTTGCTATAAATACTGAGGAGCTTTTTATATGTAAATGCTAACTTTTTAAGCAATACATGAATCAGCTTTTAGCAGAGTTGTGGCTGTTACAAGCTTTTGCTTTTCCTTTTTTATACTGTTTTTTAAGCCCAAGGAGTAGAACATTAGAGCCCTGTGCTGTTCTGTTAAAGTAATATTTCTATGGGTGAGTAAATGGGGTTTTTTTGAAAGGAGTTACTAAAACTGAATGGTACTTGAAAAATTTGCCTTCTTGCTTTGAGTATTGTGTATGGAAGACAGCAGTATGAAACCCAGCATTTATGTTTACTCAATGGTGATAGTACTAGGAAAAAGGAAGCTGAAAGTCCAAAATACAAAATATTTCCCATAACATAATACAGAGATATTTTTGCTACTGTTGAGCAGGGCTTACACAGAGCCAAGGCCTTTTCTGCTGTCCTTATTGCCACATGGTGAGGAAACTGCGGGTACATGGCAGGTTGGGAGGAGACCCTGCCAGGACAGGTGACCCCAGCTGACCAAAGGGGTACTCCAGACCATGTGACATCATGCCCAGTATATGAAATGGGGGGAAAAAGGAGGGGAGGTTCAGAGTGGTGGTGTCTGCCAAGTCATTGTTACACATGATGGAGCACTGCTTTCCTGGTGACAGCTGAACACCTGCATGCCCATGGGAAGGGATGAATTAATTTCTTGTTTTGCTTTGCCTGTGTTCATGGCTTTTGTTTTCCCTATTAAATGATTTTTATCTCAACCCTTGAGTTTTCTGGCTTTTACCTTTCTGATTCTCTCCCCAGTCCTGCTCATGGGGAGAGAACGAGCAGCTGCCTGGGTCTTGGTTCCCGGGTTCCTGGCTGGGGTTAAACCACGAAAAAATACTATATTCTATTAACCTTACCTTAAATTGACACCCTGTTCTTATTAGGTAGACACGGCTCATTTGAGAAATACCTTTTCATTGTCCTGTTCTGGAGTTGCTTTCTGTCTAAAAGACACGGGCTACTATGGTCTCCAGGTCTTATTGTTTCCTGATTTGTGACTGCCGGCAGGAATGGCAATTAACTGTGGCAGTCACCTGGCCACTTCTACAGCAGGAGCTACCATATCATCATGCACAGGATACTGAACAGCTGTTAGATGGCAAATGGTCACTGCCCATTTACATTGGATGCAAACAAGTCAGCTCTGAATGAAAGCCTGCAGCTTCTGTTATTGATCTGTTATCATTCAACTTCAAAAGTGAAAAACGCAGATTTTAAAGCTTTGAACTTGATGGTCTCTATAACATACTAGTAACCTGTTAATGTGAGTAGCAAATTGACTCTGAGATTGTCTAACCAGTTGTGTTGTAGTCTGTCCAGATGATGTATTACATAGAAGTCCTCAGCATCAACATAAGAAATGTCTTCTTACTGCTTTGAATATTGGATTCGACCCTTTCAGGCTAAGTAAGCACCATTACAATTTCTCAAATGTGTTTGAATTCTGGCAATTCATACTTCCATTGTAAGTAGAACCACTGATGTGGATGAATGACGGGAAGTAGGTTGGGAGGGGAAACTTGAAGAAAATGGATATTTTCAATTAAATATGTGGTAGAGGAGTATTCCATGTCTTTCAGCAGGACTGACAAGACAGAGCTTGAGACCTCTTTGACAATTTTCTTTGTGCTGTTTATGTAATGTACTATTTTTTTCGTACTGTATACTATGAAAATAGTGATTTTCATTGCTATTACTGGAGTAAGCCCCCCTGCTGCAGCTAAGGGCATAAACATAAGCTAGATTAGATCTTCTTTTACTGTGGTCCCAGTAATCTTTTAGTTTTTCCTTACTGACACCAGTGAAGAAATGGTAGAAAGTCCTTCACTGAGCTTAGCCCTTAGGAGTGGATATTTTCCCATTCGTTCTCTGCTAGAAGGGGATGGTATGAAATATCTGTTTTTAAGATGCAATTTAGTGCTTTCTTAGAGATTGCTCTAACCATAAGGCTATTACCTGAAAAAAAACCATTGACAGCTAGTCTAGCATCTGGCATGTCAAATATTGTTCATTAGAGGTGTGCCGTGAATGTTGTCAATAACTCAAAAATGCACCTAAATACTGTGCTTCATATAGAAGTGTTAGATATATAGGCAAATCCAAACAGGTTTGATTAGCCACAGTCTTCCTGGTCTGCATATTCTTTGTTGCTAAATTCAAACTAGAATGTTTCCATGCTTAGTCTCATGTTAGATCAGGTGTGTTGTTCCACTGCTGGGCTGGAATCTATTTATTTTTTTCTGTGTTTAAATCTAAGTTAGACTGCTTTTTGCACAGATGGTTGGCAAATTTGCTTATTTTAGATGTTTTGGAATATGCTTCCTGGATATGCTTTTATGTTAGCCCTACAAATAGGAAAATGTTATGTGGTGACTATTTGAAAATATATGAACTGTATTTAGACTATATTTTCCAATACTTTTGGTATGGAGGTTTATTTCAAAGACATTGTGCATGTTTTTAAATAAAAGGACCGTTCATGAATAACATGTTAAATTTGTAGATGGTTTTGCTTTTATGTGATGATCTTTGGCTTTCTTCCAAATTGTGTGGCCTGTGTATTATTTTGATCTCTGACCAGACTGGTTCTCTGGATGTCTTTCTTCAAACACTTGATTGCTCTCAGATAAGAGAAAATCATCTAAGTGGGGTGAGGAGTATGACTATTTTTAAAAGGGGTCTCTGAGCAACAGCCCCTCTGGTTTTCTCCTGAGTAGCATCCAGTGACTCAATATCATCTATGCTTTTGCATGTCCTAACACTTCACTTTGTTGTCTATAGTATAGTACAGCAATAAGGAAATTGCTTCTCTAGAAGAAAGTGTTATTTATTTTTACAAATTATATGCTGCTGTTGGAGAAAACATAAACCATATGTAGGGAGACCTCTATCTTCAATTTCTCTTGTTAGAATGCCTTTCAAGGCACTCTAAAAACAAGGTTGGTGTGATTTATTTATAGTTCTGATGATCTTTTTGATTGTCGATATATGTTTATTAATTTTGTGTTTTTCTGCCTCATAAAATCATAGAATGCTATGTGATGGAAGGGACCTTTAATGGTCAGCTAGTCCCAAACCCCCTGCTATGGTCAGGGATACTTTCCACTTGACCAGGTTGCTGAGACCCCCATCCAGCCTGACCTTGAGCAGTTCCAGGGATGAGAACTTTTCTGAGCAACCTGTTCCAGTTCCTCAACACCTTCAAGTTAAAGAGGTTTATTCTAATATCTAATCTAAACCTCCCCTCTCAATCTGAAGCTACTAGCACTTCAAAACATTACCCCTTATCACTAAGTGGCCCAGTGAATGGTCCCACTCCTAGGCTGCCTCATTCTCTTGCAGCCTGAGTTAACCCATGCCTTTATCTGACCCTTGACTAAAAGAATCCTCCTCCACTGTTATATCCTGCTCTTCCAACAGGAGAGTGTTTTAACAGGGCAGGATCTTATGAAGTTTTTAGGATCACATACTTTTCATAATAAAGTATCCTTCTGCCTTTGGCTGCAACTGAAAGTAGCAATTTATGCTATGACCCCGTTGTTCATTCTGGTATTTCGAAGGTCTGGAACTGGGACTGTCTCTGGTTTGGTTTTGTTTGGAGGTTAAGTCCAGAACATAGTTAAACAGATGTGTTCTGTTTTTATTTTCTGTACCAGAAACTGACTAAAAGCCCAGAGCAGAGTACCTAGGAGATTGGCAGTGTTTCAAATTGCAGGTTATGTTGGTTGGGTTAATTCCTATTTTTTCATCCATTGTAGGGGAGAATTTTACTGACCAACTTTATTGAAGCACAGCTGTAGAACCTAATGATTCTGTTACATGTCATTTGAGAGAAAGGTCCTTAAATCTTACAGAAATGAGAAATCACTAAATATGGAAAATAAAAATAATAATAAAACAAAAGGTAAAATGGGAGTTCTTTATGAGTTCTTGTTAAAGTTCTTGTTAGTCCCAGTATAATTTATGGTGCTTTGACCTTTGCTCTTGGAACTCTTTTTTCTTCTGATTAACTTATAATACTGATCTTGACAAATATGTTCTAAGAGATGATACACTGACAAATAGAGATACCTTTAACCCTGAATGCCTCTATCACTTTTCATAGTCTTGGATGTCAATATTCCTTTTAGTGGATATTTAAATTTTCCATTGAACTAGACCAGTGCAAAGTTTGGCAGAACATCTTAGCCAGATGACAGAAGTGGGTTTAAGCTAAGCTGTTACACTGTTAATTAAGTGGTTCAGTTGAATGCAGAAATGTTGAAAAGCAGTGGGAACAGTGGCTTCTGGAACTTCTGCCAGACCCACAGGAAGCCACAAAAGTGATCAGGGGGCTAAAGCCTATGAAGACCAGTAGAGATTGGAATTATTCAGCCTGGGGAAAGGAAGGCTTAGGGAAGACCTTACTTACAATCTTGCAGTATTGTCAAGGGGGCTTGTGAGAAGGATGGAGAGAGTCATTTTACCAAAGCCTGTAGCAACAGGACAAAGGGCAATAGTTTAAACTGAGAGTAGATTCACATGGGACATAAGAAGTCTTACTGTGAGGGTGGTGAGACACTGACACAGCTTCCCAGAGAAGCTGTGGATGCCCAGTCCCTGGAAGTGTTTAAGACCAGGCTGGATGGCACTTGGAGTAACCTTGTCTAGTGGAAGGTGCCCCTGCCCATGGTAGATAATCTTTAAGAGATCCTTCCAACCCAAACCAGTCTATGACTTTTGTTATCTTGCTTTAAATTAAACAATTAGATTTTTCTTTTACTGGGGTCCCACTAATCTTTCAGTTTTTCCTTACTGACACTACTGAAGAAGTAGTAGAAGGTAGAAAGTCAAATACAAATGTAAAAGATATTGAGAGTTTACCTGTTACTGATAGCATTCTGTTACTGAATAGCATTGTGTTATTGGAAGGGTTCACTGTTTTCTCATATTTTGAACCAAAATGAATCTTCTATTTAATTGTACCTTGTGTAGACACTTTTCTTCTTTGCAACCTAAAAGAAATGCTGCTGGTTTTAATATTTATTTTGTACACTGAACAAATTCCAATGTAGTTCTGTGTATCACCTTGAATCATTAAAAACAGAAAAACAGAAAATTCTTTCCTGATTTGAACTAATGTAATAACCTGAGGTATTACTGAAAATAATTTTGTTGAAAAATATCTGAAAGATTTTCCTTTTCTAAGTATCTACTGTCAGTAATGCTCTATTGAACATTCATTCTAAGGTGAGAATATATATAGTTTTGTGTATATGTGTGCTCAGTAAAAAACATATCAATATTTAAAATAAGATGCTTTAAAGTTAGATTTCACCAAATGTTACTGTAAGGTAGTAATTTTGATGAAATTATCTGCTCTAAAGCATTTGACCCAATGTGTGCGTGTAGAGCATAATAACTGGATTAATGATAAGAAGATACCATTTCAAAGAATGTTCACAGATGTTTTCATTTTAAGTTATCAGCTTCACCCATGAAACAAAAAACCAAACAAAACCACCAAACCCAAATATATGTTGTGGAAGTCAGATCCTCATAGATTAAAAGGAACAGATGACAAATAATTTCACTTTCATCTGAAAAGGACAGGTCTTTCATTACTTTAGATTTCTGCAGTGTAGTCATCTATAGTTACCATAATCTCATTTTAAAGTCAGTGAAAGTGTAAACGTTTTCACAATGCAGTCCATGTGACTTTTTTAAAATACATTATAGAGTTTAGAGTTTGATGTAAATTGTGCTGCACAAGTGCTTGTCTTTGTTGGCAGATAGATAGCTTGCTAAGATTTTATTGTATGTGTTATTACATTAATCCAGTCCATCATTATAGCATCTTTAGGATGTTGCTCTTCCTATTTTCAAGGCCCACATTTAATATTGAAATGTTTAATGCCAAGTAACTGGTTCAGTATTTCTGTAAGGAAGAAAAACACAGAAAAATGGGTTTGTGATACAGATTGATTAAGACTGTAGGTCAAGATATTGAATTAATGCAGCAAAGGATTTGTACAGTTCGAGGGATGTAGTTGGCATAAATTACTGGGATTTTCTGAAGACATCTTTGCAAACAGTTTGTATCCTGAATATTTTTTTTCAGTGTTTTGTCTTACTGTAAATTCTCCAGTTTCTTTGCCAGTATTGTTACACTCTGGACTCTAAAAATACTGTCTTCCCCCAGAAGTTGCAACCTGTGTGAATTTTGGAGTGTACCAAAGGTTATCAGCTTTACTATTCCTTTTTTCTCTTTTTTAAGCCTCTTCCATATGAAATAATATTGAACACATTTTCAACATGCAGAGTTTTATAGTGTGGTTAAAACATATGAAACACTTTCATCTACTACTGATTTAGGTAAGAAAAGGTTTAAAAGTGAACAATGTGTACATGTTTATAAGAAGCTGCAGAGGCAAAGAAGACCTGAAAGGCTTACCTTGAATATAAAAGCAGATATGAAGAAAATAAAAGCTTTGTATGAAAAATGTTATGTGGTTATTTTTGGGAGGATATTGGGCTTTATGATGTGAGATGTTCCTCCAATTTTCCATTCTTCAGTGTAAGTGCTATTTTTACAGTTCTTTTCATCTGGAGAGATTTGTTGCCTTCTATAGCTCATTGTTTTATAAATATGTTTTTGTTCAAGGAATATATTGCTTTTCATCTTTTTCACAGTAAATATATCTTCATGGATTCTTTGTCTAAAAGCTGTTCAGTTCTGGTTGTGCTGCCTGTGTAACCACAGATCTCTACCTTTGTCCTGTCTACAAATGTAGAATGCCTTGCTTGTCATGGTTTAGAAATGGTAATCTCAAATTTAGTACTATTGCCAAAAAAAACCCCAAACGTGTTTCCCCCTCCACCCCACCTCCAACTGAAGGCACAAAACTTTATGGATTGAGAGAAGAACAGTTCACTGGAAACAGAACTGAGATAAGGAATGAACAGTAACAGCAGCAATGGTGTTATAAAAGTGTGCAAAAGAGAGTGATTCCCATGGGAAAATGGTGACTGCAGACCTTAGGAGGATAAACAAGACCAGACAGTTCCTCTGACATGTTTTCTTGACCAGAAGAAACCCCTTTTCCCAAGAAGTGAGAGTGCCTTTCCCCATCACCTGGCAATGAACCTGAGGTGGTATGGAATTATCCTTCTTTCCTAGACATGCCCCCTCTCAGCGACTGCTAAAAATTAGCCCTGACATTTGATGGCAATGTACATATACCAAAATGTTCTTTGGCATAAATATTACACTGCCTTCATAGGATTGACATTGTATTGAGAATAAGTAGTATTAAGAATAATTGTCTGTTGATTTCTCTGATAATTCATCTCTTTATAGAGGAAAAGGATGTCCTTTAGAATCTTCAACTTCACAGAGTGAAACTAATCTTTTCCTTAGTATTTTAACTTAAGCATGGACACAAATATCAAATGTCTTATTTCTTAGTAAATTTCCTGGAAATTACAGGTTTGTTTTTTGTTTTTTTTTGTCTCCATCAAAGACCAAGTATGTAGAACACAAGAAAACATCTCCTATGTAATCTTATTAGAGCATATTCCCAATATATTTCATTACCTTTCCTTTCACTGTTTATAATAAACGATAACCATTTCCTTCCGTAGGGCTTCTTTTTGAATTTAGTGTTCAGTGTTGGCATTGAGTTCCAATATTAGTTTCCTAGCTTTCGTATTTTTCAGTTTTGCTTCTTTATTTTTCTTATCTAAGGTCAGGTGAATTGCCCCTACTGTTTGTCTTGCCACTTTTTGAAGTGCTTTTCTGTTAGTTGGCGTGACAGGTACTGCTATGTGAATCACAGTTTGTCAGTGACTTCTCAGACAAATTAACTTGATATATGTGTAGAGAATTTTTCTCCCAAGTGCTAGATTTGCAGAGACTTGAGAATTGGGCTTTTTTTTATGTTGGTTTGTTTGGTTGTTTTTTTCCCCTACATCAGGTTCTCTGAGCCCAATTATAAGCATACTACAAGCATACTGTAGTCTTGAGTCTAAATACCTTGTTAGAATTTAGTTTAAATTTTCTTCTGCCGTTTTCAATTATTTTGGAAGTATATTAAGCAACAGATATGATTATGCACAAAAGCTTAGTACTGAAGTGCTAAGGAAAAAAATATGCTTTCAGTTTCAGTGCATGTAATTTGAACAAGCCTTTTAAGTTGCCAAAATGCTGGAGAGCCCTGGTAGATATGATGTTTATGTATCATTTGTCATGACAAGGGCCCCTAAATTTCAGATGCACGTCAATATTACTGAGGTCTTATATATTTCATGTGACAAAAGACACCTATGGTTTGGCTGAATAATATCCAGTTTTCCAGGAAGAGGAACAACTGTCTTAAAAGTGGGTGTCAGGAAGCTAAAACTGAAGTCATAGCTAGTTGGTTTTGGTCTTTGTTTGAAAGTGATGGTGACATAAAGCATATGGAATGAGAATTACAGAGCTCTACTGTAAAGTCAAATAACAACATTTCTGAAGTATGCTTTTGACCAATTTTGTGTTCTTACTTTGCTTCTGATTTACTCTTTTCAGTGTATATTTCTATTAATTCACACATTTAGTATCTCAGTGTAACACTGTAGCTGAACTTAAGTGATCAAAATGTAGAATTCTTTCCCCACATCTCTAAATCTGCACTTTTTTTTTTCTTTCATGGAAGATCTGGGATAGTGCCATGAGTTAGGCATTGTTGCTGCTGTCTAAATTTTTAATTTAACTTCAGTTAGAAGGAAAAAAATACACATTTCAAGAAATAATGGAGAGGTAAAATTTGGAATTAAATCAGGTACATGTGATAGAGAACTGTCAGAGAAAATTCTGTCATTAAGTAATGAAAGCTTCTGAATCCACACTGTGGCTTTTCTGTGTTTTGGTTGCTTTTCCTCTTATCTACATCTCCCTTATCTTACGGATCTCTTTTTTTTTCCCCTCTCCTGTCTTGGTGTCCTAGTCACATGGTTTTGCTGGCAGACTTGCACAGTTAAGATAAAAACAAAATAAGCAGAGGGATACACATATGAGAAGACCATTTGATAGTCTGGATCATCCACTTTAGTTTTGCTTCACTGGAAACAAACGTGTCTCTCTTTGTCTTTCCCACAGGCACCTGAGTCTGAAACATTACTGCTAGTCAGAAAGCTGTTCCTGCTGAGAGCATACACTCTGCCTCCTTGCTTAGTGCGAGAACTGTTGTAGCGGAGGAATTAAAGTGGTTACAATCTGTCAAAATGTTCCTTCCTAGCTTTTGTAGTATTTTAGCTGCGAGACGGGAAAATCAAGATCTTACAGAATGTGTATTGGCAAATTCATTTACTTGCTGTGTACACTTAACAGGAATCTTGACTGCAAGGTTCATGAAATGTTGCAGTGCTTACATCTATAAAACACAATAGTGATAACCATTAAAATGTATTTTCTCCTGCATTGAAAGTAGATCTTGTTGGAACTGTTACCAGACAGAATGCCTGTTTTTTGATACATTTAATACCTACATATATTAACAGTTTATATTATTCCAGTAAAAATTAGGCACCATAATGCTTATTTCCTAAAAACAAGGAATTTGAGCAAGTTT